ATGGATTGTTACTGGCGTACGTGGTTCACTGATTCCATCACCCACTGTGCAGTTAGTGCATATATGTAGGGCACTGGGAGAGCGGCTTGTAGGATATGACAGTCTTTTCTCTGGTGCATTGAGTAGCGAGATACAGAGTTGTTGTGGAATTCAGAATGACCCTTCATTCTGGTCCTATGGGCCTAAATGTGTCCCTAGCAGGTCACGGATTCTCTTCTTTCCTCCTACCATCCTCTCCACACTAACTGCAAGAAAACAGTTTAATCATTTAAAATAGTTGCTGCATTCTTAAGGAAAAGTCAGAGAGAAACTAAATAAATACTTTTTAACCTATAAATTTAGAATGTGGGATTTTTTTTCTACTGTGTGCTAGGATTATAGTAAAAAAAAATCAAACTGATTGGATATTTGGTTTCTTGGGAATAAAATGACTGGTAGGACTTCCATCTCCTCCTCCTCCTCTTTCTCTGCTCCTTTTTCTTCTTCTTCACTGAACTGATTAGTTTATTGGATCATCATTATATTAACATACTTTCAGGGAAAGGAAAATAACCTCGAATCTCAATCTATAAAACTAAACTACACCCTGAGAAATCAGAAATTCTTGGAAAGCAAAGCTCAACGACTATCTGTCAAAGAATTTAAAATTCATGTCAGGCATATCTTAGGAACTCACGCTGTAATGTATATGGCACTCTGCAAACTTGAGCAGATTTGCCTTTTGAAGAACAAGAGGATACACCGCGATGCTCGAAAGACCTTAACTGAGGCACATGAGGTATTGCTTGGACCAGTAAGAATTTATTCTGTTGTCCAGGAACATGAGATACAGTCAGAAGTTTTATATTTCATTAATGAAAATGTAACATAATCTTGCTATAAAATTTATGAGGCTGACTTCAACTCCCCCCCCTGCAAACACTTTGCTATTTACTGTTAATTTTAAGCTATACACTAAAGCACATCACAACTTTACAGTCACTGTTTTAAATGGATGGCTGACATATAGCCTTTGACAATATTTAGCCCTTTATAGAAATACATTAACGTTAACTTTAGAAACTATAGCATAATGAAATTTTACAGCCAATTAAGTTGATGAGTCACTGTTAGCTTCTTAAATTCCTTTTTAGATGAATAAGACAAGCAACTACAGGAATTGAGGAGCAAACCCCAGCTCTTGTAAAATCTTAAGTGTCTTCATGAAGTTGAAATGTTAGGGAATAGAAAAATATGGTGTCTAAACAGCCTGGAAAGAAATAAAATGACTTCTTGTTAAACTTAGAAATGATAATAATGTTCAGTCTTTTAGTTTGTCACCGTGTGCTTCCATCACTTCGTGGAAAGAGTCATAGTGAGTCCACTGACTTGTGTGACAGTTGTCACTAAGCAGCCTTCTGAACTTTTACTTAAAAAAGAGCGCAAAGTTGGATATATTTAATCTCTGCTCATACTACTAGGAGTTTACAACTAGTTAAGGAAATAAATAGTTTAACAAGTGCAAATTTAAATATGTCCCTTTAATAATAGGTATGGTATTTGAGAGTTAATTATAAATCTATTATGTATAAAGTTAAAATTGCTTTAGGAAAAATCAAGAAAGAATAGGTCTACTAAGGACACCTGGGTGGCTCAGTCAGTTAAGAAACCAGATCTTGATTTTGGCTCAGATCATAATCTCAGGGTCATGAGATCAAGTTGTACCTTGAGCTCATCCTTTGCACAGAGTCTGCTTGAGATTTTCTCTCTGCCTCTCCCTCTGCCCCTCCCCCCTCAAATAAATAAATAAATCTTAAAGAAAAAAAAGAATGTCTATTCAATTAGGACATCTCCATTAAAATTTATCAGGAAACTATTGTGTATAATTTATCCCAATTATTGAATGTTGAGAAATATCTTTATAGATGGAGTAAGGTTGCATTGAATAAACTGTGGCATTAAAATAAAATCATATTTTTATTTTAATCATATTAAAATAAAAACATTTTAGGATAGAGTAAATTTAAAAATATAAAACATTCACACATATCTAGCTCTTACCTATATTCCATGGACTGAAAAATCTCCAAATTTCTTTATGTTCTTGTGGTCATTATTTTCTTTGTACTTGGGCTTGGGCATTTTCTGCCATTTCTGTGGCTGCTGTTCACACTCCACCCAGTGGCAATGGAGAAAAAGAAATTCTCTCTTTAAAAAGAGGGGTGCCTGGGTGGCTCAGTCTGTTAAGTAATTAACTCTTGTTTTCAGCTCAGGTCATGATTTCAGGGTTGTGAAATTAAGCTCTGCTTCAGGCTCCGCACTCAGTGAGGAATCTGAGATTTTCTCTCTCCCTATGCCCCTCCCCCTTCTCTCTCTTAAATAAATAAATCTTTTAAAAATTGTGCATCCTCTTGATTATTAGAGAAGACCCACACACGCACACAAATAAAGTACACAAGAGAAGCAAAGTCAGAGAAACAAGTGATAACGTTCACAGAAGTGTGTGTGTGTGTGTGTGTGTGTGTGTGTGTGTAGCCAAGGGATTTACAGAGCCGCAGCAATACAAACTGTAAACTTGGAATGTAGTGTTACAGACAATGTTTGTGTCCCTTTCATAAATTTGAAATGTGTTAAAACTCTACCCCCTGATATGAAGGTATGAGGATGTGGGGCCTTTGGGAGGTAATTAGGTTAGATTAAGTTTTGAAGCTAGAGCACTATCCCTCATGAATGGGATTAGTGTCCTTAAAAGAAGTCACCCGAAGTCTACTCTCTTCCATGTAATGATATAATAAGAAAACAGCTGCCTGCAACCCAGAAGATATCCTTCACCAGGACCCAACCATGCTGTTACCCTTAGTCTGGACTTGTAGCCTCAAGAGCAATGAGAAGCAAATTCTGTTGTTTACAAGCCGCCCAGTCTTTGGTATTTTGTTATAGCAGCTCAGACTAAGACAGTGAGGTATCTGTGTTTGGAAATTACAGATTTGTCATGTCCCCAAATTGGGAGATGCTGATTCGGTAAATCTGGGGTGGCCCTCAGGAGTCTGGACTTAAGAAGATAATCAGGAATGGAACAACTGCTTGAGGATTTATAGGATTCATTTCCAGTTATCAAATTTAGTGATACAAAATGAATGAAACTGGGAATCTTCTTATGGACCTACGGGCCTACCCTCAAAGTAGTTATTTCAGTCTTGTATCAAGTTTACTTGTCATTTGCCTCTTGTTTTCTTAAGCAACCATGCTGGTTGGCTCAGGACTATCTGGGTTTTAGTCCTGTATTCTGAGAAATCCCTCGATCCTGGACTAACCAGAGTGGTTGGTCACCGGATAAGATCTTTAAAGAAACAACTCATCTTTTTAGTTGCTGTGATGACATTCTGGACATAGCAAAGCCATTCTAAGACCCCAAGGAGACAAAGTGCCAATGGAGATAGGGAGAAGACAGTGCTCCTGGATCTGCATGGATGTTAGCTTAGATCATACAGTTAATGCAGTTGAAGGGATCGGTATGTCTTTTGTCATCTTGAAGAACAGATCTCCCCTCTCCGCTGTCAAACCTGTAAGACGTTCAATTCTGATTGAGGTTTTAGGGAAATGATGTAATTCTCTATAATAATAGCCTGGTTTTAGCACTATTGAGCTTGACATGGAAGCAGACTACGTAGGAATATGATAGGCAATTGGAAAGGTGGGCTGGCAGTTAGGTGACAGGAAAGTCCAAGAAAACTAACTTATCAGACTGCTAGATTTAATAAATAAATTGATTAATACAGAAATAGAAAATTGTTGAGTATCTAAGCACAACATGGTGACTATGGTTGATAATACTGTATTGTATACTTGAAAGTTGCTAGAAAAATAGAAAAATAAAAAAGCTTACTCTGGAAGGTAATGAATGTGTTAACTAACCTTTATTATCATTTCATAATATATACATATATAAAATCATCATGTAGTATACCTTAAACTTAAACCATGTGATATGCCAATTTTATCTCCGTAGAAAGATTTAAAAATAAAATAAAATAGAAAATTGAGTTCAAGGGGCATCTGGGTGGTTCAGTTGGTTGAGCGTCCAGCTCTTGATTTCGGCTCAGGTCATGATCTCAGGGTCCTGAGGTAGAGCCTCACCTCAGTCTCCAAGCTCAATGCAGAGTCAGCTTGTTTCCCTCTGTTCCTCCTCCTGCTCTCTCTCTCAAATAAATCAATAAATAAAATCATTAAAAAAAAGAAAAAGAAAATTGAGTTCAAGAAGAAAATAAGTTGAATGATTCTTCTGAAGATAGCTGGTTTGCTTAAGGAAAAACTGTCTCTTAATATTTACAAAAAGGACTCCCAAGTAAAATACGTTCAAAATGAGAATAGATATGGTGGGGCGGGGGGAGGAAAGACCTTACTTTGAGACACTAATTAAATGATACTCCTGGAACTGAAGTAGATGAAAAGAAGAAACCTATGCATTTTGCTTATAAGATCAAGTCACTACCAAAATGTTATGTAATTACTAGAATGTAAAATGTAATCGGACTCAGTAAGGTGGAAATAAAGATAATGAAATTATATGTTTTTGTTTAGTTTATATCTTTTTGTTGCTAATAGAATAGTTTCTGTTCTTTCCAAATAAAAATTCAATACCTAGTTTAAAAGCCTGACTCAGTATGTATAGGAATAAAATAACTGGGAGTAAAAGTAAATAGTTTTGTCTCATTAAGCGTGCCTCGGAGGGCACCTCGGTGGCTCAGTCACTAAGCCTCTGCCTTCAGCTCAGGTCATGATCCCAGAATTCTGGGATCGAGTCCCACATCAGGATCCCTGCATCGTGGGAAGCCCCCATCCCCCTCTCCCACTCCCACCCCCCACTTGTGTTCTCTCTCTCGCTGTGTCTCTCTCTGTCAAATAAATAAATAAAATCTTAAAAAAATCAAAAGTGTACCCCAAATGTGGAAATCTTAGCCCTAATGCCATCTTTGAGTAAAATCTAACACCAGTTGATGGTTTACTTTTTTATTTTACAGGGCTGGAGAGAATTGCCAGGGATTCATCTTATGAACAGGAAGGAAAGGTCCAATTTGTAATTGATGCCGTGTATTCCATGGCTTATGCCCTGCACAATATGCACAAAGATCTGTGCCCTGGATACATCGGCCTCTGCCCACGAATGAGTGCTGTTGATGGGAAAGAGCTACTTGGTTATATTCGGGCTGTAAATTTTAATGGTAAGTCACAAGGGTTTTTTTGGTCATTAACTACTTTAGAAGTGACAGTGTTTGTTCCTCCCCACCCCATACACAGAAGACATTCAAACAGAGTGGAAAGCCCAGGATTAGAAGCAGTCCCCCTTTTAATCAGGAGTGTGAGTTTTTCCACCTGCTTTTAAATCTCAAACATATTTTTTTTTGGTGCTCCTGAAAGAAGCAGAAGTTAAAAATAAACCTCAATCAATCAAAATATTCTACTTAAATATCACTATTTCAGAAATAACTTAGGAGGCTCATTTGGAACCGCTCACAATCACAACAGATTAGATTTCTTTGAAAATGTTTTGTTTTTGTGCCATTGTTAGGGAAGGACGTGTAGAGATTTTGTTTTAAAACTGATCTTCAGCTTCTTGAACAGTAAGTTAACTGACTAGAGGAAGGTAGATGATCTGGATTTGCTACCTATTTACCTTCTGAGCGCTGGGTTAAGTTTCTGTATCTTCTCTTTCCTTGTATCACTTTCAATGATCTGGTTGCTGTAAAGCAATGGGCTGCATCCTATAAGCTAGAACTGCATGGGATGCCTTGGAGATGGGATTTACTTCCTGCAGAAGCAGAACTTCTGCTCTCTGTGAGTGTCACAGAAACTGATACAAAATATGATGGACCCACAGCATTCCGCTGAGAATAGCCAACTGCCTGTCTGAAGTGAAGGAATTATTGAATGCTGCTGCTCTTTCATGAAAGCTGTAATGGTTGCTGCTCATGATTTTGACTGTTATTTTCAAATGAAATGATAGAATGCTCTGAGCTGTCTAATTCTTTCTGTTTGGCTGTAATCCACACAATGGACATGCCTCCAAGTCACGCACAGCACTGCACTGTCCATCATAATACACTCCAGTGACCTTAGCTGCCAGCCTTTCTCAAAAAAGCACAAGGTCATCATCTTCAATTTAGAATTCAAGTGGAAACTTCTTCTTTTGCTTTGTGCAGGCAACACAAGGCAAGATTTGGTTTACATTCAACATAGGGTATCCTTATTTTCAGCAGAATTTTTTGTGAGACATTATGTAACAATCCTTTTGTTATGAATATAAATATTAAGGGGAATTTAAAAATAATTTTCTTGCAATTATAAAAATTGAGCAAAAGAAGAGTATTACAATGCAAGGTTATTTATCCTAACATGAGGTTGTGGAACACTCCATTTATCCAAGTAGTTAGGAGCTGTGAAGAGGAATGCAAATGATTATATTTTCTCAATAACTGAAGCTCACCTCCAGAAGATGGGAAAATCTTTAAAGAAACACGAGATTAAAGTATTTTAAAGGTGAATTACCAGTTTCTCCCTTATCTTAATCATAGATAAAAGCCAACCCCTTCCTTGATGACTTCCATTATTATACCATACTGTAATATAATGATGCTATTAACGACTATTAAAAACATCTTAATGCCTAATGATTATTAAGACAATTTGCCTCTAGACTCCAATGATTCCTGAGTTCTATTGTCTACTTTTTATAGTCTTTTTTCCCCTACCACCTTATCAGGCTGCTGTTTTTGTGCCTTTTTTTTTTTTTAAGGACTGATCTCTTCCATAATTTGCTTCTTTCAACCCACTATGGACAGAGAAACACATATAACATTTCATTCATTTAGTCAAGATATATTTATTGAGCACATAGAACATGTTAAACATTGTGATAGGTGCTGGAGATACACTACTGATAAGAACAGTCAAAACAGGAGATTTAGATTTTCTTGGGGAATTAAATATTAATCAAAAAAGCACACAAAGGTGTAATAATATAGGCTGTAATGAGCGCTGAGAGTAGAGGTGTGCCAGACTGAGAGTTTCTAAGAGGGAAATATCCCTACTCTAGGGAGGTAGTGACAGGTGTGACTCTGAAGGAAATGGGTGAAATAAGGATAAGATAGAATACAAGAGGGCTTACAGGCCATTCTTAAGATTTGTTTACCTTGAAAGCAATAGGAACCCATTAAAGCATAATAGAACTGTGTCTGATATGAGTAAGTATAGTCTTGGTATGAGGGTCATATAAAATACATGAATTTTAGTATATACACTTAAAAAAGAATCTCTTTGAGCTCCCTGGAGAGCTGTTTTGCTAATGGCTTGAGACTTGTCTGTATTCCAACAGGGGATGCTACAAGGTAAGAGACCTATACATAAGCCAGTTGTCATGGATTATATACTCCTCCTGATTTTTAGTAATTTTCAGGAAGTTCATAAATTTTTAAATTTCATTGTTAGCTTATTTGTTAGTGTTCATTAATTATTAGTGCCTTGCCTATGATATATGCCTATGATAAAAAGATATATAGGGCAGTTCAAATAGAAGTATATTATCAAAATCATTTCAAAAGGAAGAAACAATATGGTAACTAGGATATGGGACTACATCAAGTTCTAACCTTCCAGAGCAGCCGTAATGTAAAGGGACATCCAGTGGGATATATAACTTTCATTGTGATGGAAGCAAGCCTACCTATTTTTTAAGAGAGGACTAATTTTCTGGGAAACTCTATCTACAAGAACTGTATCATATGGGACTTTGACAACCTAATAATATGAGCAAAGTTATTTAACAAAATTTTATATAAAAGAAGCAGCTTTCTCTTTGGCTGTTTTGCACCTGTACCCACAATCAAAGCCAAGAATGTAATGCTTGTAACACTGAAGGGTATTTTATTAAGAGTTTTCAGGAGGGAGATAATCTTCTTTATCTAGGTTTACAACTTTCTCAAACTCTGATGATATGGGGATTACCATATCCTGTTAAGAATAAATGAAGAACATTTCCCTTATACTCTGCTTTTCAGACTTGATCTTCAAAAGAATGCTACTCAGGGGCGCCTGGGTGGCTCAGTGGGTTAAAGCCTCTGCCTTCGGCTCAGGTCATGATCTCAAGGTCCTGCGATCCAGTCCCGCATCTGGCTCTCTGCTCAGCAGGGAGCCTGCTTCCTCCTCTCTCTGCCTGCCTCTCTGCCTATTTGTGATCTGTCTCTGTCAAAGAAATAAATAAAATTAAATTTAAAAAAAAATTAAAAAAAAAAAAGAATGCTACTCAGAAATTTAACGTTTCAGTCAGTTACTGGGTTGAAGGGGTGGCCATACTCTTGGACACTCCACTTCTCCTAGTGCTACTTGCTGGTCCTAGAAGAACCTTGAAATGTCCTAATAGCTACATGGAGCACACATCAAATCTCCCGACTTAAATATCCTTGCCCTTCACAGGGCTTTCATAGGAACTGGAGGTAGACATCTAGAATATGTGCTAGGAACCGAGCTAACAGCTATTACGTGTTGTTAATTTCGTGTCAATTGAGTGGGTTGTGTTGGTGATGGTCAGTGTTCTCACCTAGTGAGATGGCCACCTCACTTCCCAAGGCCTGGAAGTGTGAGAGAACCGTTGACCAAACCCAGTTTCCTTGAGATCAGTTTGTTATATCCTGAAGTGTTGAGAATGTACCTGACTAGACCCAGAGCTGCTTACTGTACGTGACAACAAAAAATTATTGTATACTTAGTGTTTTCTTAGCATAGCTATTACCAGTTGTTGAAGAATGAGCTTTGTAAGGCAACTGTCCATTTTGTATAGTGTAGCCTTCCAGATTTTCTGTCAGGATCATTGAGCTACAAAAGGTAATCTTAAGTAACTAAAAAAAATTGACCAATTGGATGGAATTACCTAGTAATGTCCATTTAAATATTGGACAATGTCTGCTCTAAATTGTAATTTAGGCGTCAAAAAAAAACTGTTGTTTAACTGGTTCTTCCTGACATTAATGAGATATCAAGGCAAATTGCTTTTCATGATCCCTTTTAATTTGAGGTGGTAAATAAAACCTTGTCATTGGTAAGAAGGGAGACTCTTCCAGTTTGTAACAGCAGGAGGTAAAGGGGCCCTGACAGCTGGGTGCTGCACAGACCATTGGTATAAAATTAAAGTAACTGTTTAAAACTTGGTCTTGCTGAGATTGTAACCTTGTGTGCAGTATGCCTAATTAGACAATGGTTTAAAGATACTTGGTTTAAAAGGTCATGCTTCTTCCAGTCTCTTGTTTAACTGAGAACATAACAATCATCTTAGAATTTCAAATGATAAATGATTAGTATTTCAGGCCAGGATTATTCCATAACACAACAACTAGTTAAAGGTGAAACCCTTAGTCAAACTACTAAACTACAAAGCGGTATTTCTGTTAAAGACTTAAGCAACAATGGTGGTTTGATTGCATTTAATCACTCAAGCTGATATTTTCTCATCAACGGAAGAATTTACCTGAGCCATATTCTACGTGTGTATTTTAAGCACTCTCTGACTCATAGCATATGTGGAATTACTCATGTGTTCCTTACAACTTTTCTCAACCTTTTCTCTGTACTTGGGGAGCCTGAGGGAAACAAAGGCCTGACTTTTGGATTACTTTCATTGCTACCATTTGAACAAAACACTGTTTCTATAAATTATTTAAATCTAAAGATTTATCAAAAGAAAAACATAAAATAAAGCAGAGGAGTTCAGATTTTTCAGGAACTTAAGCAACAATGTCAATTCCTTCATTCTGGCCTATAGGCAATAAAATATTAATACATCTTGTATAGAATCAGAGATTTTTCGGTTGCCACGAGAACCTTATTTATCGTAAAGAGAAAGTGTTGGATAGAATTCCAGTGCCATCTCCTCACTCCTTTTCTTAGTACTTGAGCTCACATCAGGAACAGGGCAAACACAGTGGCTTACTAATCAGGAGTGTTCGATTATAGGTAACAGAAACCACCTTCAGCTTGCTTAAGCTAAAAGGCAGAATTTATGAGGGTATGTCAAGAAACCCCATGGCAGAATACAACAGGATCTAAGAAAAAGACCAGTTATAAGAACAAAAAACTGTTCAGAAACCCCAACATCTCTCTGTATGCTCTGTTCGGTTCTGTTTATATTGGTTTTCCCTAATTCTAGGTCCATAGGGTAGATAGCAGAAGGCCA